CGGCTTGGCCAGCACTTGTCCTTTTGCTTTTCCTCCATTCTCACAAGAGCCTGGAGCTGGACACTGGTCCAAGGATCTTCCCCAAACATTCGGGGATGGAGAGATGGAGGGATGCTTGATGCCCTGGTAGGAGCGGTAGAATGTACAAGTACTGCCATGAATGGGTAGTGGCAGCTTCAGGGGTACAGAGTAGCAGGATTGGCTGGGGACATGCCCAACAGGCTGGCTCCCTAGGGACCCAGGAGTCAGACCCACACAATCTGCCCCCCTTGCTTGGAGGATGAATTGCACAGCATGCACTCTGGCTGCTCCCTTGCAAGGATTCTCTGAACTTGGCTCTCTACCCACAAGCCACCTCATTTGAGCTTGTGTGAGGTGAGGTGTTGGAACCAACCTGACACCAAGATTCATCTACTAGGCGCGTGACCTCCAACAGACCACTCCTCTGTGCCTCAGTCCCCTGTAAAATGTAAATACTAAATACAGCTTATAAACAGATGTGAAGGTGAACAGAGTTCACAGGGTATGTGTGGAATAAACACACATTAAAGTCTCCTATTATTACACGAGTTCTGAAATTATTCCTTTAGGTATTTTTCTGTTAACTTAGCAATGGACTAAGAATCGGGGCAAGTGCTAAAGAAACGTACAGCTTCTGCCTCGTGAGACCTTTAAGGATGCTGTAACGGACAGCTCCTCTGGCAGCTTCCTCCCTGGCCACCCAACTGCAGGTTCAAGCGGGGCAGAGGTGTTTAATGCCCCGTTAGCACCTCACTGCTTGTTGTGGGCACTAACCACCGCACTGGCTCCCTCTGGACTGGCTGAGCTGCCTTGAAACTTGTTCCTGCCATGGTCAGGCTTCCCCTGGCTAGTCCCAATTCCTTCCTCCAGGTCACTCCCTTTACCCAGAAAGTGAGACAAGTTTCTGGCTAGATTTTGGAGGCGTATGTGCTTTTAAAAACTACATGACTTCCGATCCCGCCTACCACCTAAGGGAGAACTCAGGGTGGCTTCATTCACCCAGAACCTCCCTTCTCTTCTCCCCCACCCCACACCTGCAGACACACTCTCCTCACCCTCACTCCTCAGGGTTTAGTTCAAAATCAGGCAGGGAGGCAAGGGCTCAAATTTGAAGCAGATGTTTGGGATGATGAGTGAAGTCGGGGTGGGGACACTAGGAAGGATGTGGACCCTTCTAGAACTGCTTGCTTTGACCTTCTGCCAAGGCTGGAGAAAAACGAGAGAGTGTTCCTGGTTAAATACCCAGCTATCCCCTGTGCCAGGCGTTCCTGGGCCTCAGTCCTCAGAGGCTCTGGCTCAGCCTCCAGAGTTCTCCTTACCCTTGCTCCAACCACTATCCTGCCCCCCCCTTCTCACTGCGCCAAGCCCGAGCCCAGTCTCACCCCAAAAGTCAGGGCTGGAGCTCTGCTTCCTTTTTCCCCCCCCATAGCTAATCCACAGTGACATTTTTAAAACCAACACTTAAGATATGCTCTGACAAGAGAGATTTGTGCTCGTTCCTGGTGTAAGAGGCTGTCTGGAAGACTTGAGGGAGATGCCAAGACAATAGAATTTTCAAGGTTCTGAGTCTGCAGATGGATGGCTGTTTCGAGACCCCTCCCACAAAGTCCCCAGAGTGGTACAAATGAGCCATCCTGGGTTCATTTGCTGCCCTGAGAAAGACACCAAGTACCCTCTACAGAACACAGTCTCAACCCCATTGCAGGGACGATCTGAGGAGACACAGGCTGGTATTATCGTGAACAAGGCTTCGAAGAAATCCTTTTAGGACAGGAAGCACAGGCACCTGGTATTCTTGAGGCAGGTTCATTCCCTTCCATCTAGCTGTGGAGGGAATGGCCCACATCTGACCAGCTCCCAGAGAGGAACAAAATTGGTCACAGCACATGGCAGAGAACTCGGGACTTGTTTCCTGGGTTTGACTAATGCTCAGGGAAAACTGGAATGAAATTCAATGTTTCCACCTATGGTAGCCACGAACCAGTGTCATGTCTCTTCATAGCGTTGACTCACTTCTTCGTGTTTTGGGGTTCACTGGAAATGGCTTTGTCTTTCCTCTGCCAACCCAATTATTCTAAGTAAGCACCCATTTGTTTGATTGCTATTAATGTTGAAAATATTCCCTTTTCCCACTCACTCAAGATTTTAATTTCATTCACTGAGCTGCAGGCAACTGGCCAGCTTTCTGCTGCCAAAGTCAATACCCAGGTCTAGGGGAGCAGGTTAAAGGAGAACTGGCCCTAAGATCATGGAGTTCCCTTTCCCAGTCGGTGCAGGATCAGCAGGCTGGCCATAGACGACTTATGTTACAAGAACTCGCCCCTTGGGTCTGTTTGAGTCCATCTTTACAAGAGTTCTTTCTTCTCTGAAAGTCAGTAGGGAAGAGTAATTTCCCTTTGTTAAAGGAACTAGACATTTCACTTGCAGCCCTTGCTGTATGATAGTCTCCAAACACATAGAAGGAAACAGTCCTGTCCCTGTGAAAATAAAGCAGAATGTAAAACATGGAGACACGTGGCCCTGAGCTTGTGTGCCTAAGCCTCCAGGGAAGGGCACAAAACAGGGATGTACACACAGGCATGTTCTATCCGCGTTGCAAGCTCTCTTTGGTGTCCCATGTACAAGAAACGCTTGCCAAGATGCACATATGCACAGAGCTGAAGGGGGAAGGAGACCACAAACTCGTGATGGAACCGAAACCAGGTTTGAGGTGCAGAGTCTTTAGCAGAGGTTAGATGACAACCTGTGAGAATCAGACCTAGGACTTGGGAGACCCTAAAATGATGACACATACTCTTCTTACACAATAACAGAACATTTTGCAAAGTAGCTTAAGAGCCATCGTCCTCCAGCTGGCTTGTAAATCCTGATATCCCTGGCTCTGCTAATGGGCAGAGGAATGTCTTGGCAGCAGTGGGAGTTCTGGAGAGAGGGAATACTCAGCCTGTAAAGCATAGAAAGCTTCAGGTTCCCCCTCAGACAAGCCAACAGCGCAGGTGAAGACAACTTCAGCCTGAAGGGACAGGAACTTCCTACAAAGACAGACCATGCTATAGCCTCAGTAGACTCATGGTGTTATTGGTGTGTCAGAGAAAGGAGAGTTCCCCTTAATCTGGCGCTCTTGAAATTGTATGCTTTTCAGTGAAGTGTGCTCCAGGAACTTGGCTTTACCAGTTGGTGCTGTTCCATAGAGACAGGAGATGTATTCAAATGAGCCTTTCACGGCAGACAGTTACCAGAGATAAACATCACAGTACTGTGTCTGACCTCATCGGAATCATCCCATCTGCATGTGACTAAGGGTTTTCTACCAATGTAGAGATAAAAGTAATTTTAGGACCTGCACTCCTCGGTTACATCCTCAGGGGTGTCTTGTGTTCTTTATGCAGGGCTCAACTGAAACTTGGCAGTCTCTTCTCCCAGATTATTAGCTCACAGTTCTATAAAACTTTCTCCATGCAGATTTTAAAGCCATGACTATTGGCTGCACCTCTTAAAAAAAAGTCTCCATCCTGGAGTAGAGCCTCCCCTCCATCAACCCCAGATCACAGTGACTAGTAGGTAAACCAAGATATACGGTGTTCACCTGTCATACCCAGCACCAGGTAAGGGTGAGGCAGGCAAGCAGGAAGTCCAATGCCTGGGTTTTCTGTCTAATCCAATCTTCAAGAGATAAGCCAAAACGTCAAACTTGGGTTCCAAAAAGAAACAGACCCATGCTCAAATACAGTTCTGGAGCCAAGTATGGTGGCACATGCCTTTAATTCCAGCTTTCAGGAGGTAGAAGCAGGAGAATCTCTGTGAGTTCTAGGCCAGACTAGACTACACAAGGAGACCCTGTCTCAAAAAGGAGAAAAAAAAGCTTGTAAGTCAGAAATACCAGCCCAGTTGACACATCTGGGGATAATTTACTGCTGAGCCATCTCCAGTAATACCATACTTATATGACACTTAATAATGTCCCACTGACTATCACAGAGAGTCACAATCATGTCAGACCAGGCCACAAACAAGTCATGAACACCAAGGAGTATCCACTGTAGCAGTCTCAGAAGATATGATTAATCAGGCTCCGCACCAGGTGTCTGGGCTAGATTCTCATGGGGTCAAGATGGTCTCAGAGGATTCTTAAAACCAGTCGTGACGGTGCAATCAGAATAACAGCAAGTGGGGGATGACGGCAACTAAATATGTAATTATATGAAAATCTGAAGGCTGTCAGAGTGCTAACAGTGTTTACATGTAACCTTGTATACGTCCTCTTTTTTTTGTTTGAGTATATGTGCTGCCAAAGCGAGCACATACTTCCTTTGCTGTTTTGTTTGGGGCTTGGCTGTTGTACTATCACAGTCTCACTGTGTCACTCAGGCTGGTCTCAAACTCCTGGGCTCAAGTGCCCCTCTAGCCTAGCCACCCAAGCAGCTGGGACTTAGGCACGCACTACCTCGTCCACCTTGCTTTAACTTCTAAGATTTCTTTTCTTTATAAATGTGTACATCTGTGCACCATGTCTGTACAGATGCCTGCAGATATCTGGGTCCCTGGATCCACAGACACTGAAGTTGTAGGCAGTTAAAAGCTGCCCATTGTAGGAGCCACAAACCAAGGCCAGGTCCTCGGTAAGAGCAGCAAGCATCCCTAACCACTGAGCAATCTCTCTAGCCCCCTCTTTTAACTTATTTAGAAATTTTTCTCTATTGACTTTCTGATATATAAAACAACAAATTAAAGTGTAAAGATTATAATAGATACCCTTTGTTCATATCAAACTAGTTTCCTTCTCAGGCTTTCCTATTGGGTTGCTATCTGTAGCAAGCAGTATCAGCTAGGGTCCCAACTGCACACTCTATCCACGCAGGCAGCTCCCCACATCCAGGGGAATTATCGATAATATTTAAAAGCATCTCTAAACATTTTCCTTCTCCTCTTCTATTTAAGTTCTGCTCCCCACCCCGACTCAAACAGTCACTAGCCCTCGCTTCTTGTAGACATTTTATTTACTGTACAAACTATTTACATCTCCAGTTGCAGACGTCCAGATCTTGCCTGACAATGTGCAGAGAGCTCAGTCTCTGCCAAGTTTCTAGAACCACGCCGACACTGTTCTTGGTTTTCATTTCATGACTTGTCTCCTTCAAGGACACTGAAAAGCCAAAAGCCAGGAGAGCAGCTGGCCTCCCAAGTGCCTATGTCACAAAGCATTAACAGAAGAACTGGCCAAAATAAGGGATATGAATAGAAAACTGCCCAGGGAATAACATCTCCTTTTATCTCTCCCACATTCTGTATGTCTTCCCCACTGGACTGGCTAGTGCCCAAGCAGTATTAGAAAAAAAAAAAAGGTAAAAGAAAATGCAAAAGAGAGCAAAACTGCTTCTCAATAGTTAGGAGAGAGAAAACTGGAATAGAAAAATCACACAGTACTAAAGGGGTTTTTTGTTAAAGACTTTGGTGCCTAAAGACCACCCTAGAATAGAACTGCCCCGGCTGGGCTGCAACAGTGCCTCGGAGACTTTGAAAAAGTGCTATGACTAGAGCATAAAAGGACAGGTCTAGCCAAGAGTATAAACTCAAACCTCCCCCCACTGCCGTATAATCTTGAGAGGGGTACTGCAGCTGGGACTGCAGAATCCAGGACAGGAACAACTGCCCCAGACAGCCAAGACAGCCTATATATACCCCAGCTGGAAGCCCCAACGGAGGCCCGAGAGGCAGCAGGGTAATGGGTAAACTATCTTGTACATGTTTCATGGGAAAAGTGTGGGCAAGCAGCAGCACCTTGTCCTGGTCCCTGAGGAGAGCAGTGACCATGTGGCATGGAGGATCCTGGGGTGTAGAAGCCCTGGTGCCAGGTCTTACACCCCAAGGATAAGTGAGGTCAGCACCCACGCCAAGAAAGGACAAACGATGACTGCAAAGGAGGTCAGGCTGGAATTCTAGCAGCTCAGGAGGGCTTGTGTCTCGTGATTCCTGGGAACAGGAGGGCTCAGACATGCTTCCAGGCCAAGGCACTGTCACAAGAACTGCCTTGTCTCGGGATTCTGCGTACTTGCTGGTTTTGGCAATAAAGATGGCTTATAATATTCTAAGTGAGTACCCCATCAGAAATGGTGGTTTATAGCAAAGCCTTATTAAAGACAGAAACTGCAAAGTCCATTTGATCTTGAGTCTTAATGTTGTTTTCACTCAAACACTAATAGAAAGAGATGTTATCATCTTCCAAGAGACTGACAAGTTCTCTTCCATCACCACATAATGGTGAACCCAACGTAGCTTCCTCCCTCCTCAGTTCCCCTTCCTGGTAGCTGATGAAGCCAAGTACCTGGAATTGTTAGGTATTTACTGCTGCTCTGTCTCCACCATGCCTAACCCAGTGGCCTGACCCAGGACCTGTGATGGCGGTTCAGCCCCAGTGCTGCCAGAGACCACCACCAAATGGAGGCAGCAGGCTATGTTCACTATCTCCATCCTTTGCTCCCAAATTCCTCCAGAAGAATGCGAAAGACAGTTCTTAATGGACTGCATAAGTTGGAGGTCAGTGGTGTGGTCAGGCCAAGGCATCCTTCAGCACAAACAGGCAGCTCAGAGAAGAGCCATCAGTAGCCTTCAAGCCATCCACATGCCTGGACGCGGCCCTTCCCCAAGAGAAGCACGGCCAGCACTGGGGGCCACAGCACAGCCATCCTTCGCGTTTTTCTGACTGCTTTCCTCACTGCCTCAGACTCAACCGAAAGCTTAGCACACTCTTCATAGATTGAAGATCCTTTTCAAAACTGCCCACAGGGAGCGTCTTTTTCAGTTGTCACCAAGAGATCCTTCTGTACGATCAGCCCCCTCGGTGCCATGGCCTGTGCCAGCCATTACATGGGAGGACAAATCCGACGGCTTGTGAGTCACCTTCTGTCTGTGCTCCTCCTGGCTACTGATGAGAAGAGGTGATGGGTTGCCCAGGAGGAGGGGTCATGTGCCAGTCTGGTCAAGTAGTGAGATCAAGGAGGGTATTTCCAAGGAGCAGAAGGTGCTGGAACAAGGCATGGTGTAAGGATCTCAGCATGCCCGCTTTCCAACAGAACCGAGTCCTCCGTGTCATCCATCTCTCCCAGCCACTGAGGCAGATCCAGCTACAGACATCTTCAAAGGACCAAATGAAATGACAGCAGCATGGTCCTCGTCTCATGACTGAGTGGAGCTCAGACAGGTACGTACCATGTGCCCAAGCGGCCTGCGGTAAATGTGGACACAGAGGGGGTGAGGTAAGAACAAGGCTTGTAGATGACGCGAGGGAGCATGCAGTATCCTCTGGCTAATGGTTATGCGTGTTAAGGTCAGTGGTTATACTTGTTAACATGTATCCAGATGTTCTAGAGAGTGTGGGAGCCAAGCAGGTGACAGAGGAGTGGTCAGAGCATGCCAAAGCCCTCACAACCCTCACTGATGGCCAGCTGCAGCATCCTGTGCACCTCTTCATACGAGTCATATGTAGGGAGGCACAGTTGGTTAAAACTGGAAAAACAAGGAGGAAAATGATTAATTCGTACTACAAGAAACACGAGCAAAGGCTAGGACGTGAATCTCCCACAAGGGATGCTTTGGGTAGCCAGACACCTACCATGTGTGTGCAGTAGGAAGAGTGCTGTGGGTCGGAGCAGCGATGATCTGAAATGAGGGACAGAGGGCTGCAAAGCCTCCAGGCGGAAGCTGAGAGGAGCCTGTTGTGAACTGAAGTAGCCGAGCCAATTCCTCCTGGGTCAGACTGGAAACCACAGTCCAAAACCACCTCATGACCTGGCAGGAAATACAGGGCTCAGGTCAGACACGGTGTGCCGCCATTTGATCCTAGGATTTGATCCTTAAGGAAGGAACAGGATTCTCTGGGTAGGCATGTGCTCCCGTTTACAGTTCTGCAAGAGTGTGCACTGCCACAGGGACAGAAGGGTAAAGCGAACTGATTGCTTCGCTCCGTTTACTTGCGTTTCCCACTTTCTGCCCCGGTTTTGGGGACCTGAGCTCCTTTCAGCTTGCATAGCCACCTGTTTTCCCCGCATGCATCACCTTTGGGTCAGTCAACATGCCAACTTCTTTGACTCCTCTACTTTTTTCTCCTAAATCCTTTCCTCACAAGATGATACCAATCCAACTGTAGAAAGTTTAGCCCATTACCTTTTCTCTGAAATGCCAGGAGCCACCAACCACTACAGCATGGGCTTTGAAGTCAGACACACTGATGTCTCCAGTCCCACACATCAGCAGCTAGAGAGACAGAGAGAAGGACAAAGACACACTATGTAGTCAGCCACCTACTTACATGGAATGCAGAGTAAAAGCATTGCCAGGAGAAAGACAGCAGGTGAGGTCACAGTGCCAGAATGAACTGTGAGGCCAATGATTCCTAACCAGTGTGACATTTAAAAAAAAAGGGGTGCTGGGATATGGGGCCTAGGGGTGAGGGTGTAGCCCGGGGGATTGAAGGACAAGTTTAAAGGGGTTTAGCAGGTGGTCAGCAGTGTCTTCCCTGGGGTCTGGGAGAGCTGCTGGGGGTTGTGGGCCTAGATGTGCCTGTATCACAGACTCAATTAAAAAGGAAGACAGACAGCTTATAGCTGCACCCTAGGTCTATTGTATCAGGTTCTCTAGAGCTGGGTTATAAGCTTATACAACCAAAAAGGTGTTTCTGGTGAGCCTGCCTAGCTAAGAACTGCTATGGATTCTTAGTAATTAAATGTCAAAATTAAAGAAATAAAAAAGTGAGTATAGGAATGCCAAGGAGAAAAGGCAAGTCCTTTCCCTCTGATGAAAATCCCAAGTCCTGTTTTTGAGGGTTTTCTCTCAGGATCTATCCTCATTTAGTGGATTGAACTTTTCTTTTTCTTTTCTTCTTCTTCTTTTTTTTTTTTTTTTCGAGACAGGGTTTCTCTGTGGCTTTGGAGGCTGTCCTGGAACTAGCTCTTGTAGACCAGGCTGGTCTCGAACTCACAGAGATCGGCCTACCTCTGCCTCCCGAGTGCTGGGACTAAGGGCGTGCGCCACCACTGCCCAGCAGTAGACTGAATACTACTTCCCTTTAGCTCTGCTTCCACTTAAACAGATAAATGAAAAGTATTGGGGGGGAGGGAGGAGAGAGAGAGAGACAGAGACAGAGAGAGACAGAGAGAAACATTAATGACATCAGAGCCCTAAACATCTTGATGATGTCCTAATTTGGTTCACGATCCAACATGTTACTTAGCAGGCTATGCGTATCCATCCAATAGCTATAATGAATGAAACATCTTAATAAAGAGACAAAAAAAAAAAGGCCAAAGTAAGACCTGGAAGTTTTGGTTTCTTTAAGACCATGCCAAGCTAATGAGTAAAAAGGAGCAGGCTAGGGAACAACTGTAAGAGACTGCAACTTTCCATTATATGATGCTATCAATGCTCCAGTGCTCCAAAATACCAGCACTGGGTCAGAGGCCTACTAGAAATTTTAGACTGAAAATTCATTGTTTGGATTTTATATCTCATGGCACAAAACGTGATAAAAAACAGAAGGCTTTGACTGTTCTCTGACAGTTCAGATAACAAGAAAAAGAATTAATTACACATCACCTGACATACTAATTTTTTTCCTTACAAATTTTACTTTCTTTTTTTTGTTTTTGTTTTTTTGTTTTGTTTTTGTTTTTCAAGACAGGGTTTCTCTGTGGCTTTGGAGATTGTCCAGGAACTCCCTCTGTAGACCAGGCTGGCCTTGAACTCAGAGATCTACCTGCCTCTGCCTCCTGAGTGCCGTGAAAGTACTTCTAACAGGAAACAGTCTGCAGAAACAAACTCCTCTTAACATATATGGGAAGTTAAAAGTCAGAACTTTTATTGTATGTATCATCTGTGAGGAGCAACAGTGAGTCAAGACAAACTGACTTTGTTTTGTTCTCGACTCGTAAGGACTTTAATTCAGCTAACTATAAAAATGGTATTTACTCCGACAGCATCGAAAACAATACAGAGAAACCCTGTCTCGAAAAACCAAAAAAAAAAAAAAAAATGGTATTTACTATCTTATAGCTAACTTTTGGCTGACACAAAATGTGAAATAGTAACATATTATATATATATATATACATACATATATATATATCATATACACATTCACACGTTCTGTGATAATATAGATATGTGAACAGACACACACAGTGGTTATGGTCTGAACTAACTAGAACCACATCTTATAGGCTGTCTCTTTCACCAGTATACAGCCCATAAGGGACTTTGTCTTCTTCATTGCTATTTCTCCGTCATCTCAGTACATTTATAGTTTACATACACCCAAACAAATACATTCTACAATCCCCTTACATGTCATAAGATACTATGAAGACTACACATGAGGCCAATACTCCTTACTAGTTGATTAATATCAATGTAGATAAATATTAACTACTACTTTTCATAAAAACTTGCCGCTTTCTGACTTTCAACATTCTAATTTTTAAAAGATGAAGAAAGGGGGGCTGGAGAGTTGGCTCAGAGGTTAACAGCACTGTTTCCTCTTCCAGAGGCCCTGAGTTCAATTCCCAGCAACCACATGGTGGCTCACAACCATCTGTAATGCAGCCTGGTGCCCTCTTCTGGCCCGGGCAGAAGACTGTATACATAATAAATAAATAATTTTAAAAAAAAGATGAAGAAAGGGTCAATGAATAGAAGAGTAACAAAAGCGAATACAGGATTGGAGAGATGGCTCAGTGGCTAAGAGCAATGGCTGCTCTTCCAAAGGACCTGGGTTCAATTCCCAGCATCCACATGGCAGCTCACAACTGTTGCTTGTAACTCAAGTTACAGGGAATCCAACATCCTCTTCTGGCTTTTGCAGGCACCAGGCACAAACATGGTACACAGACATACATGCAGATAAAAGACTCATACACATATAATAAAATAACAAATTTAAAAAGGAATTCAACTCCTGCATAATAAAAAAGACTTTCTGGCTACATAGTGAGACTCTGTGTCAACCTGTCACCACCTCCAGAGAAAGAAAGGACTTTCCACCTCTGACAGAAGGTGCTCTCAAGAACAGCAGTCTTGGGGCTGGTGAGACGGTTCAGAGGGTAAAGGCATTGTCACCTGCCACGCCTGACCACTCATGTCCATTCAGAGACTCGTGTGTGGGAAGGAAAGTACACCTACAAGAGGCTCTCTGACCTGCACAAGAGTAAGGGCATATGCGTACCCCCTCCACACAAGGAAATGAAAAATACCACAAAACAAAACAGGTTCCAATCCTAAGCACTTACCTCAAGTTCATTCTCATCAAAAATGGCCAAAAGATTCTCAGGAACCAACTCATTCAAACCTGAAACAAAATTATCCAAATTAAAGGACACCTACAACTGTGACACTGACATCTTAAGCACAAGGAGACAAGTCCCACCTTTTAGGAAATGTTCCACCTCCTCTTTCACTTGACTGGCCAGTCGATACTGAGCTAGCAAGTTTAAATAGAAGATTTTATTTGCATTGGTGACTGGGGTCTGAGCTCCACCTGTCATGAGTTCTACAATCTGAAACAGGAGGCAAAAGACAAGGAGAGGTTGTGGCTGAATTGGTACACACACACACACACACTCAACAAACACACACACACACACACACACACACACACACACACACACACCAACAACTGAGGGGCATTTGAGGAAGTCCCAAGAAGTTAAAACAGTTACCCTGGAGATGCTGTGTATAGAAATCAGAGTTGTCTCCATAAATGAATGAATGCCTCCACCAGATCTTAAAATCTGATCTTGCAACATTTTTTTTGTTTTGTTTTGTTTTTTCAAGACAGTGCTTTTCTGTGGTTTTGGAGGCTGTCCTGGAACTAGCTCTTGTAGACCAGGCTGGTCTCAAACACACAGAGATCTGCCTGCCTCTGCCTCCCGAGTGCTGGGATTAAAGGCGTGTGTCAACAACGCCTGGCCCCTGATTACAACATTTTACTTGCATTGATGTGAACAATAAATCTCAGTAACATGTCTTAGTTCATAGCTAGAAATGCTTATTCACAAAAACCACACCCAATTTCCGCAGTAATATAATAGCCATACTATAGAAAAAAGCTCTACTGTCTTAATCTACTGAGAACCCTGCTGGTAAACAACCTGCTGTTGTCCTGGAGGCCGAGGACTGTAACTGAGCTTCTGACCACTTGCCACTCTGTCACACCACCTCAAGGTACAGACCTCACTGGTACAAAGACAGAAAACGGGCTTTGCTAGCATTTCAGTATTGTTTAATTCTGGTTTTTCTGGTTTGGTTTGGTTTGGTTTGGTTTGGTTTGGTTTTGAGACAGGGTCTCTCTCTGTAGACCAGACTGGCCTCAGACTCACAGAGATCTACCTGCCTCTGTCTCCTAAGTGCTGGGATTAAGGCGTGTATAACCACACCCAGCAGCCACATCTTTTCAGACATTGCTACTTTCCTTCTAATTGCATATTGTTAACAAGTTTCACAGTGGTACTATCATACCTAGTGAAGTTTAATTATGTATTATTATTATGACTAGCTTCATTATTATCATTTGACACTGCATACCTCCAAAATGCAACAAATATTCATTCACAACAAAAATATATCTAGCCAGTAATCTTAGCGCTCAGGTGGCTAGCCTGAGCTACTGTGAGACCCTGCCTCAAAAAAACAAACAAAAACCCCAATAAGAACAACATAAGGCCCGGCACTGGTGGCGCACGCCTTTAATCCCAGCACTCGGGAGGCAGAGGCAGGCGGATCTCTGCGAGTTCGAAGCCAGCCTGGTCTACAGAGCGAGTTTCAGGACAGCCTCCAAAACAATACAGAGAAACTCTGTCTAGAAAAAAAAAAACAAACAAAAAACAAAAAACAAAACAAAAAAAGGACAACATAAGGGTCTTAAAACATAGAAACACTGTGTTAAACTACAATCAGCCACCTACATCCCAACTGCTAATCACTGGCACAGTCATCCTCCCAAACCGGCCTGTGCAATGACACTTCTTTGCCACTCGGCTCTTTGTAGTCTCTCCTTCACTGCACAAAGTCCTACCGGTACTGCTTTAGAGGGGCCCAGGGTGTGGGAACCCGTAAACGCTCTGGTTTTCATTATCACCTTATCCAGTTGACCTGATTTGTTGTATTTTTCTTCTGCAAAGACCAGCTCCATCTCGCTCATGTCGTTGTTGAGGATAAAGCAAACTTTGGACTTGTAGAATTCTGGGTCATCTGTTTCAAAGTACTGAGGAGGAAGGAAGACACAGAAGCACATGAACACTCTTTTGCCATGAATGAAGTTTTAACTGCTTGATACCCTTACATCTTCAACTCTAAAGTAACCAGCTCAGGGGGCTGAAGAGATGGCTCAGCACTGGCTGCTCTCTCAGAGGATCTGGGTTCGGTTCCCAGTACCCACACACAGGCTGACCACCATCTGTGCCTCCAGTCCCAGGGGAGCCGACACCTTCTTCTGAGTTTGTGGGCACCAGAGGCACTTCTGGTGCATGTGCAAACATGCAGGCAAAACACACATACAGAAAGAATAAGCACAAACAAATCTCATCAAAAAATAAATAAATAAAAGGGGAAAAAACTTTAGAAAATCAGCTCATATGGGAAGATTTCAGAGCCAACGGCCAGACTGTCTTAGTGGAAATGCACACCTAAGATGTTACCTTGTAATGCATACGTAGTCCTATGATTTGGGCCAGGAAAGACCGAGTGAAACGGGCACGGACCAATTGCTTATAGGCTCCTCCTAGAGAGGATTCATACAAACACTTGCCCACCAGCCGCCCTGCAAATTCATACATCTTCAATCGCAGGTGAGCCGGGCGATTAGGGTTAGGATGTACCTGTCAAAGAAATGGAAAGGCTTGGACCATTTTTCATCCATCCTAATTCAGGAAAGCCCCTCCCTCCCAATGGGATGTACGTACTACAATTTGGACCTAGAATGTCCCCCAAAGGTGCCCAGAGCGCCATTGGTAGGGCTCAGATTACTGGGGTAAGCCCTGGAAGAGAGCTGCCTGGTGTCCTTCTCTCCTCCTTTCATGCCCCAGCCCTGAGGTGAATGATCTTGCCATACTCTGCCACTATGATGAGCTGCCTCACCACAGACCCAAAGCAGGAACCTCTAAAACTCTGCAGTGAGATAATATTTTCTTTTTATATGCTTGACTGTTTCAGACATTTATTACAGTAGCAGAAAGCTGGTTCATACCCCATACCAAGGGAATAAAATTTCAGTTTAAGGATCACAGAGTAGACAGCTAAGTAATTTAAAGTGACTGGAGGCTAATGGCTGCTGAAGAACCTTAGATTAGTTAGTTTGTGGTCCCAGGGTGATCTGAGTACAGGTGATAGGATGCCTGTCCCTAAACGAGAACCTTTTCAAGCACAGTTGGGTGCTCTACTTTGACACCTCTCTAGTCACAGACCTAACTCAGAAACCAACTGCCTCAGGCTTCTTTCTCTAGAAAATAACTTAATTATTATAAGTGAGTAAAATAGCCATTACAATATAATGCTCTTATCCAAGCGCTCAGGTTTTTTTTTTTTTTTTTTTTTGCTAAATAATGGAGTCAAATAAAAGGGAGGGCAACCTGATTAGCTCATTACTAACAGCAAATAAGGAGCAAAGCACAAGCTGTCAGGACTCCCAGGTCAGCTGTGTGACCTCTGTGTGTGGCTTCATTTTCCACCCACCCATGGGGAAGGCAGACTCACTAGTGCTTGGTTGGTGTCACTGAACCGGGTGAAGAGCTGACTGGTGGTATCAAACAGTGCTTTGCAGATTAGCTCAAACCATTCCCGGCGAGGCCCTCCCCAATCCAAAGCTGAAAAGTATAATGAAAGTTAAAGTGATGCTGGCGTACACCACCTCCTGTTATTTTTCTCCATTTAGTTATCTCTTAACCCTCTCACATTCCTTCTGTTCCACTACCTGTCCTTTCACTGCAACTCGCCTGCAGGCTGGACATTTTTGGAACCCCACTTCTTTCTGTAGAATTCAAGGTATTCTGACCACTAAGCTGATAGAAACACAGAAGGTCAGGGATCCCATGAAATGTACACTTGAGGGTCTGCATTGGTTACTTTGTCCTTTTGGTGTGAACTCTACGAGCTCAGCCCGTCTCTGTCCTCCACACTCTAGCACACCACGCAGCCAGGTTCTTTCCTGACTCACAGAAGGTGGGTCTTTTGGGAGTTGAGGGGCTGGTTTGGGCTTTTTTGGAGTGTAGGAGTAGGAAAGAGAGTTAAAATGGTAAAATGAAGCTTTAGAACCAACCTTCTTCATCCTGGAAAACCACTTCAAAGTTCTTGCTCCAATCTGAGATGGAAAAGTTCCTAGTGGCCTTCAAAGACTAAAACAGAAAGAAAGGAAGGAAGTTGTCAGAACACTGGCTAGCCTCCCCAGCTACTAAAGACCAACCCCCACGAGCACCACCACTGCCCCCTGAGACAACCACTATGTTCAGGTGACATATGGCATATAAGTAAGCTTTAGTGACATCTTATATTTAAATACACAAATCTCCAGGAGAAATTGGATATTTAAAAAAATAATCTAAGCATAGAAGCAAATCCCTATGATCCCAGCAAACTTGAGGCTGAAAGAGGAAGCCTGCAAGTTCAAGGCCAGCCTGGTCTACACTGTGACAACTTCTCGCCGGAGGAAACAAACAAACAAATCACACCTTATTTGAAATCAAATTTGGAATTTGATAGCTGAAATTGCTTTTTTGTCCTTTCTTCTTTTTAAAATAAACTTCATTTTATTAATGAAAACCCCTTACAAAAAAGTTTTCATTAAAAAGATTTGAGTAAGTGATAAGCGGGGAAAAAAAAAAAGAGCTAAGGAGTCTTGGTTTCCAGTAAAGTACAAACTAACCACTAGATATCTTTATCCACCACAAGGCAAGGCCCACACAGAGAGCCATTCCACATGGAGCATGGCTGAGAAACGGGGTTTCCAGGCATAACTACCAGAGCCAAACATCACAAATACTTTCTAGACAGGCATCAAGCCTTCTCACTCTTAGAGAATATCAGACCCATGCCAGTGTCTGTGTGGTGGAGACAAATACTCACAGGTGTCCCATGTCTATCAGAGTAGAGTGACAACAAGCATTACTTCCTTCTAACCCAGCAGAAGCTGCTACCCCAGGGATGACTAACAGGCTGCTTCTCTAACCACTCTACTTCTATCCCTGTGACTGTGACTGTCCAGCAACTACATGAGCACAGACTAAAAGCTGATGTGTCACAGGTCTCCCCTCTGTGGCATGCTTCTAACACAGTGGCCCAACCCAGTAGAATAAAAGTGTATACAATGAGAAGAACAAGCCATCTCCAATATGTTTAAAGGAGAAATGTATGTTTCATTAAAAGGACACACTGCAGGATACAGCCAAATACTGAAGCGGTCCCTAGCTGGAGAACTTGCATATAAAGATGAAACTCGGCGTACCGATTCCAACAAGGCGTGTCTGCTGACCTTCAGGGTGACTTTGGAATGAGGTCTCTTCATATGTACCTGCCGAAGCTCTCGCTGGAAAAAGTTCACCTTGTCTTGAAAGGTCTCAGATCCCCCTGAGGAGCAGCAAAGTTCATTACGACTTATTACAGACATGCGGAGGACACCACTCTCCAGCTCTATGCCCACGTGGTCCATCCACTGCCTTCCCCACGCTTACCGATGTTCTTGTGCAGGGAACGGATGAAAGTGGCAGCTAGGATGTTCCTTTCCTTGCAGCTGAGCTCCACAGGAGGCTGAATGCCATCATCCACCACCAGTGTGAGGAGCTTGTGAACAGGGTCAGGGCCAAGATATGAAAACTAACAAAGAAAATTTAGAAAGTGGTGGAATTTTATCAATAAATCCCTTAATTCCAACAGAGCTTTTCACATGCCTACTCTGCTACACAAACAACAAAAACAAGGTGAGACTGTTTTGTGTAAGTAAGTACCCGACAGGAGTAGATCTGTTACTTACACACGTACTTAGTGTGCATGTATTTATATGTGTACAGGAGCATGCACATGGAGGTTGGAGGACAGCTTGTTCTCTTCCTCACCACCTGGTCTGGAGGAAGGGGCTCTGGTTACCAGGCTGGCACTTTTAGCTGCTGAGCCATTTCACCAGCCCTATCTTGAGGTGCTACAATTCATAGGTTTCTGTTGTCTCTATTGTTTTTAGTGTATGTGCCCATGCTGTGAATGGGTGGGGTTTTCAGGAGTTGGTTCTGTCTTGCGGAACACTCCAGGCTGCTTGGTCTCTGAGCTTAAGTGATCCTTCTGTCTGTGCCTCCATCTTGCCACACAAGCACTGCCATCACGTGCACCACATTAGGGTTCTGGAGATCAACTCGGGTGGTCAGGTTTGGCTGACAAGTCCTTTCACCCTTTGAGTCATTCTGCTGGTCCCTTTTCAAGTTCTCATTGAAATTATTTGAGTCATAGAAACTGCCCAGTCAAAGATCCTGGGCAACACTGCAGACCTTCCAACATAAAGTTTAAGAAGGGAAATAGGAGTGACAGCAACAACTATTCCAAAATGCCTGGAGAAAGTGATCTTTATAAACAGCATATCCAAGCCTCTGGGGTAAAGCTTAGATTTAGGCCCAGAACACTTAGAAAAAACAACTACAAAAACAAAACAGACCAATTTTTTAATATATGAAAACATCCTTCTCATAGAACGAGCTTCAGCACCAGGAGCCCAAGCATGAGCAGAGTAAGTCACGTCCTTTGAAAGTGCCACTGAAGACAAAAGACCCTGGCAAAGTATTGGGAACTGCTCCTGGTATCCACTAGTAAAGTGTCCACTTCTGTAGCACATAGACTCATTGCATGTAATGAAGGATAACTTTTTCTTTGGAAATGAATCTGTGCACAGAGATAGAACGTTCAGAAACAAGGAAGGCTCTCCAGAAAAAAGGAAGGACCAACCATCCTGGAGTTGAGGCAGACCCAAAGGGTAACTCACCTTTGTCCCAGGGCATACTCGGAAGGTGTAGAGGCGCCAGGGGATGATTTTCAGGTAGAATTCCTTCACTGAGAATTGCTGGGGACCAACACAGAAAATGACGTTGGTGATAAGTAAGAGGACCCTGTTTGGGTGTTGTAAGGCAAATACCAAAGTCTTGTCTATATTTTTCATAAGAACGAAAGGATACTTAGTCACTACAAACATAAAGCTATCTGTGGAAGGCAAACTAAAATCTGACACTTCAATTCACAGACATGTGCTATACCATCTCAATGCTCGGTCTCTCGTTTTGGGATGCAATTAGCTCTTCACTTTATGAGTACAGAACATGTCACCTTGGAAAACTAGGACCCTCTGCCTTGCCTGCTAATGCTCAGTGACTCCCCAAGCCCATGATGGTTTGTTGTGGTTTGGTTTGGGAGGGCTTTTACTCCCTAGCTCAAGCTATACTGGGACTCACAAGGCAGCCCAGGCTATCCTTGATGTCACAGAGTGATCTTGACTCAGCTTCCTGACTGCTGGGATTGTAGATATGAACCGCTATGCCTGACCTTTTCTTCCTATTTGGATGGTACTAAGGACTTGGCATGGATGGGGAGACGGGAAGAAGAGCCAGAGAGAAACATAGTGGGGATCTTACACAAAAGTCCATCTAATTATGAGGACAAGGGAGGTTCTTCTTATGCTGTTTATAAAAGAAGAAAGATAATGCAAGATTTGTTTGTTTTTTCAGTCTGTTATGTGAATGTGTGTCACCTGTTTTTCCTTTTCTCAGTGCCTGGGACTGTCCCTCTTACATGCTATATGCATGTTCTACCACTGAACTACGCCCCAGCCCCTACATTTCCCCCATGACTTAATGCCACCCCTCTACTCACACGACAGCGAGATGTATAAATAAAGATGGCATACAGAAGCACATTAGAAAGCGCAAGGGAATTTGGACTCAGCTTTGATTATGATTAAAGGATGTAATAGGATGTTCCAGTAGTTTCATTCTTGTGAGGACTGGATGAAGAAAACTCAAAAGAACACCTCTAACAAGGCGCCCTGAGCTCCAGGCTTGGGAAGTTCACCTTCCTGTCTCTACCAAGCTCTTTCTTACAGTCCTGAAGCCTGGTAGTGACAACCATTTAACGTGGTTTCACATTATCACAGGATGAAAGGTCAAATTGTTTCAATATAGCACAAGGGGTCAACAGTGATTTTTATCCTACTGAGGACTTCTTAAGGGTCAAAAGTAGCCTCTCTACAATCCTGAGCGTTCCACTTGGACAGTCTTCCCAGAGCATTAACGGGGTAGAATGTTCAGGTATTCAACAGTGCCGAGAGACAGTCAGACTCTGGCAGAGATCTGCCCTTGCACAAAGCAAATCCCTGCAGCAGCAGATAGACACAACCTTCAGTTCCACGTTAGGAAGCCTCCTCAGAAACCCGCTGACACTTAGACTGCCGCTTTACGGTGTCTGTCACTAAATGCTAGACATACATAGACTCAGGTGGGGGATTTTAAGGCAAGAATAGGGGCACCAACCTTTGGTGACACATAACAGTACACCTTCTTGGGCTTCTTCACTTTCTCAGGGGTATGGCACTCAGAGGGCGAGTCTTCATCGTCCTCCTCAATAGCAGTGGAGGGCCGGCGCTGAGAGGAGCTCACGTGCATGGGAGGAAGATGCCACGGTGTGCTTGTGTAGTTGTTGGAATTGTAAAGGTAAGCCTCAAAGTAGATGCTCACTCCTGAGGTGGACACATTGCGTTCAACAATATTCTTCTCATTCTCTGAAGTACAAAGAATTAGGTTTGAAATAGGAACCAAGAGAGGACAAACTAACCTACTGATGGTCATTTAGTGTACTACAGGGCAATGAGGTAAATATGGCTCAAATAACAAATGTTTGTGGGGTGGGGTGACGGGGGATGTCCTTCTGTTTATATGCTTCTCTTACTGGTTGCTGAATAAAACACTGAATGGCCAGTAGCCAGGCAGGACGTATAGGCAGGGCTACTAGACTAGCAGAATTCTGGGGAGAGGAGACAGAGAGAAGCCATGAAAGGGGTCACCATGTAGCTGTCAAAAGGAGCAAAATGCTGGAGCATTACCGGTAAGCCACAACCTCACGGCAATACATAGTTTAATAGAAATGGGTTAAAAATTAAGAGAGAGATAAGTCTCTGTGTGTTTATTTGGGGCAAAGTGGCTGTGGAACTATGTGGGGCAGAACCTCCATCCACAGTGGGTCAGAAAGCAGAAGAAATGGCTGGGGAAGGATGAACTCACAGCTTTCAACTCACCACTGAGGACAATAATGTCAAATTCGCCATTATTGATGGGTTGGTTCTGGTATGAAATGCAGGCATGGAAGCAACCTCGAGAATGCAGGGTGAGCCGCAGGAACACCTGGCATGTCTGCCTGTTGGATGTCACCGACTTCTCAAAGGAGACTTCATTCTTCTCTTCTTCTTGAGCACCGAGCTACAGGAAGCAAAGCGTGACTGCACATGCTTCACAAGGAGCTCTCCTATGGCTTCTCTAATCTATGCCTCACACTCCCCACACGGACAGGCACACCAGATAAAGACAAGATGGATGGCTCAGAAGTCAGGGAGAAGACAAGAGCTGGGAGTGAGGAGAACAGAGAGACCCTGGCTTTCTTGCACATGGAAAAGAGAAGAAGGCACTTACCTCATGAATGGACAAACTGTAGTTGTGCTCATCTCTCAGGGAAGTGGAATTGTTGGTCGGGTTGTCATACTCATCTCGGGGCACTATTTGCAGGGTGTGTGGCTGACCACAGGTCAACACAAGAGTAGAAAAATGGCACACAATTTTGGTCTTGGAAGGAACCACCAATCCTAAAACAGAGACAATGAAAGACAATGAAGACCAAGAAAGAAAACAGATTCACAAAAACAAACATTGGGGACTTGCTTTCTGTTGTTGCTTCTGGGAGTGTTTTTATTTTTCTTGTTATTTTTAACCACTTTCTGCACCAAACAAAATGAGAAAAGAATCTGAAGGAGACAGAACTAAAAACACAAATACAGTGCTACAGCTTCCCAGAGAGTCTTTGAGGTGGGGCCTCAAAGTGAGTGCTGAAACCAAGCATGGTGATATCCTAATCCCCAGCACTCAGGAGGCAGAGGTAGGCAGAGTTCTGTGAGTTTAATGTCAGCCTAGTCTACAGAGGGAGTTCCAGAACAGCCAGGGCTATAGAGAAAGACTGCCAAGGGCTAGTGAGACAGTTTAGCAGGTAAAGGTGTGTGCCGTGCAAGCATGGGACCTAAGTTTGATTCCCAGAACACATGCAAAGTGGAAGGAGAGAAAAAAAATTGCTGTCAAAGCTGTTAAGAGGATGTGTTGTCTTCTAATCTCTATATACAGACCCGTAATTTCGATGTACCCACATATACAAATAAAAAATAAACACTGAACAATGGCAAAACCAAAACTGTAGGGCATGAAAGAAGTATAAATCTAACAAAATACATATAAGAACTGTATATTGAGCACTATTAATGCTGTGAACAAAGAAAATTGATTTAAAAATACAGAATTTATTCTTAAGAATTTCATACATGCACACAATATATTTTGGTCATATCCACCCATACCCCCCACCCTACCCCAGTCATCACCACCACATGCCCCTCCCAACTTCATGTCCTCCTTTTTAACCCACTAAGTCCAATAAGTGCTACCCCCTGTGCATGGGTATAAGGACATGCAAATAAATAAAATACTGCATGCTTGTGAATTAAATGATTCAACACAGAGGAAGTGCCAACTTGCCCACGCTGAAATACAGGTTTAACACAATTCTTACTAAAATCTTAGGAAAATACTCATAAATTAGGTATTATACCAAAATCTGTATAGAAAGGAAAAGGAACTGCAATCAGCTAAAGCAATTTTGAAAAAGAGGAATAAATGGGGATGAGCCAGTGTAGGCGATATAACAGGTACAGTCAGTAATCAAGGCTCTGATACATCAACCAATGTTACAGTACAGAAATCCAAACAGACTGCCACACATGTACCCAGCTGATTTTTGACAAAGGTGTCAAAGCCCTATCCATGAAGAAAAGACAACCCTCTTAACACATGGTCCTTGGGCAACCAGAGAGCTTCAAGAAAATAAACAAACAAACAAACCTAACATAAATCTCACATATAAAAATTAGCTAAAAATGGAGGATGGCTTTAACTTAAAAAATGAAATGGAAAAAACTTTCAGAAAAAAAACAAAAAAAAATGGAGAAAAATCTTTAGGATCTGGAATTAGCCAGACATCTTAGAAATCAAAGGCATAATCACAAAAGGAAAGAAAAAAGATAGAAGTAAACTTTATCAGTATTAAAAATGTTTTATACCATGGGAGATCCTATTAGGATGAAAAGAAAAGCCAGATTTTAAATGTTTGACAAGGAACTAGAGCATAGGATTTACCTTAAAAGGCTCTCAAAATATAACAGTAAACAGCCAAAAATTTCTAATTTAAAATATGCAAATATCATGAAAAGCTATTTCACCAAAGAGGATATATAGTTGTCAAATGAATACACGAACTATGTTTATCAGCCTTAACCACTTGGAAAATGCACATTCAATACACATTTATCAGAAAGGTTAAAAAACAGAGGAAAGAGTCTGAGGGAGGCATTTAGGCAAAGGAGGCTGCCCAATGCAGAGACAGCCTGTTCAGTCTTCCTTTGCTCTAGACAAAGAGAGCTGGGAACCAGAAGCAAGACTCAGTAATCTTCCTTAAAACTCCAATCATTACGATGTGACTCCCGAAGTCAGTCAAGATCCTATCATTTTTATGAATACCAAACTAGCCAATATTTAATGACATCTTTAAAAAAAATGCCAGAAGAGCATAAAGTGCAGGTAGGACTCCAACACATTCAGCACTCATGTTGTAGAACAAAGAGTCAAGAGACAGAAATTACAGCCTAGACCTCAATGCCAGTGGGCATAGTATTTGTTATCTGGCATAAAGCATGAAGGAGAGAGAAGGCCTAGATAAAGGCAGACACTCTTCAGAGTGAAGTAAAATACATATTGACAGTACCAGTGGATTTGGGCCAAGATGCTTTTACTTGAAAAGATCTTTTTTAAAAATCAGAAAAATGTATCTCCTTTCTATTCTGGTATCTTTGGCGCTTAAGAGCTCGGTCAGATTGATTGCTCAGCAATTCTATTCCTAGAGAAATAAAAACATGCCCACACAGAGGCCCATATGCAGACGCCAAAAAGACCGCAAGAGCAGTACTATTTTTCTTATTTGAAAAGAAGACATTGACTGCAAGCCTGCTGACCTAAGTGTGACCCCAGAGCCCACGTGTCAGAAGGAAAGAACTGACTCTACAAGTTGTCCCCTGCCGCCACGCACACTGTGGCCTAGATATGTCCCCCACACAGTAAGCAGATGGAAGGATAGGCAGGTAGGTAGACAGACAGACAGAAAAGAACTGTATGAAAATGTTCACAGTAGTCTTACTCTTGTTATTCAAGTCGTAGAATGGGAAGAAACGACCCGGATGCACACAATTTACAAAAAGACAAACAATACATGGCACACTATTTGTCAATAAAAGAAATGAAAAACTAGGCCGGGCAGTGGCACACTTTTAATCCCAGCACTCAGGAGGCAGAGGCAGGTGGATCTCTGTGAGTTCGAGACCAGCCTGGTCTACAAGAGCAAGTTCCAGGACAGCCTCCAAAGCCACAGAGAAACCCTGTCTCGAAACCCCCCCTCCAAAAAAAAAAAAAAAAAAGAAATGAAGAACTAAATATGAAACAGCATAGATGAACCTGAAAGTATTACATTAGGTCAGACAAGTCAAAAAAGGCCTCCTATTTTATGATTATGCTGATAGAAACATCCAGAGAAGGCGATTCCATAGCAAGAGACTAGTGGCTATAATTGGGAGTTCGGGGTTTCTTGGCGCCAAAATGAAAATCCTCTAAAACTAAATGCAGTGATACTTGCTGAACAAAGAATTTTACAGTCTACTACATTTTAAATTGTTGAATTTTGTGGCAGGTGAACAAAAGGAAAAACTGGAATCCTGTTGGGTGGCAGAGCACATGCTTGGCATGGGACCCCAGATTCCACCACACCCTACCAGAAAAGAGAAGAAAGTAAAGGGAGAAACAATGAATGAACCGAGAACCTACCAGGCTGAAAAATTTTATAGTAGGGACTATAGGCCACATTTAATCCACCAAGCTTCACAGTGATCTCGTAACGCCCAGCCTTGCGCACAGTGAAGGCCACCTTGACCACGTTGGAATTTGGCTCTTGGAGTACTTCCTGGGTCACTGGAATTTCCACTGCTAGTTCGACGTGAGAGATGTGAACTCGCAGTCCCACGGGCCGATGTGCAGGGAAAGGCTGTCCATTCTTATAGAACAACTGCAACGGGAGGAGAGGGGTGGGCACCAATCAGTGAAAATGAGGAAGAACCACTTCCCACCTGATGAGTATGGGGCAGGGGAAGCAGCTGGCCAAGGTCTCACTGGTAAACCCAGTGCCTACCTACTCCTTTCAACTTTGCCCTTAGGAACACAGTGAGAGGTTAATTCATACATACAACCAAGAAAACGTTAAATCATGGGCGAGTCCTTTGCCTGTTGGGAGGACAGGCCAGCATACAGCACTGAGTTAAGAACACACCAATTTCAACTTGGTTTCTGAACAACAAATGCTGCCTCCTCAGTGTTCCCAGCACTGTTATACAACCAATGCTGGCCCAAATGTAGGGCAGTTAGCCAGCAGCACAGCAGGAAGAAGCACCAGGCAAAGGTTGAGAGGTTCAGGCTCACACCAAACTCAAAGCTACCTAGTGGAAAAGGTGGGTTGTAAAGTTTCTCTTTAAAATGCCAAAGAGTAAATGTCTATAGCTTTGGGGACCATATACAACTATCCTAAGAATGTAAATGAGAGAGTAGTTGAAGGATAAATGAATACGGCTGTGTTCCAATTAAAAGGCATTTACAATGCCTGACAGTCAGAGCAGTGCACACCTTTTATCCAGCACTCGGGAGGCAGAGGCAGACAGATCTCTATGAGTCTGAAGCTCGCCTGGCCTACAGGGAGAGTTCCAGGACAGCCAGAGCACACAGTGAGACTCTGCCTCAAACAACAATAGCGAAGAACAAGGAGCGAGAGAAGGGAGGAGCAGGAGGTGGCATGTACAGAAACAGAACGGGGGCTTGCTTGGGTTTTCAGGCCAGAGTTACTAACTCCTGATCTACAACCTCTCCTCCCACATTTCCTTCCTCCCTTTTATTGTCCCCTCTCCCACCTCATTTTAAGACAAGGTCAACAACATATCCCTAGAACTACATAGATCATGCTGGCCTGGAACTCACAGAGACCTGCCCGCCTCTGCCTCCTGAGTGCTGGAATTAAAGTTGTTTGTTTGGGGCTTTTTATTCTTTGAGTCAGAGTTTCATACAGCTTAGGATGGCTTTGAAATCCCTATGTAGACAAGTAGGACCTTGAACTTGATCCTCAGGCATCAGCCTCCCATGTACTGGCGTCACAGTAGTGCAAATCCAACCAGCCTCAATATTGCTTTTCTTATTTGAAAAACTAACATTAGGCTTTCCACTTCAAAGCTATGTACCCAGTAAACCAAAGGATAGGAAAATTTAAGGCTCTTCAGATATTAACAATTCCCAAGTTCCTGGGAGGGACTGAAAATCAAGGGAAAATATTAATATCCAGCCTACACCACCAAGACAGCACTGGGCTCTGGAAAGCAAATGACTCAGAAACCATGATGGGTATGGAGACAGAAACATTCCCTTACATGCACTCGGAAGGCCATGCTGTGGCCCACCTCATAGGGGTCCTTCCAATCCCAGGACACTTTGCAGGACCGGGGATCCAGGTAATTTCCCCGCACGTAGTCATAAATAGTCCGGTCCCCACGGCGCTCACGGTCTTCATTTTGAAGAAAGCTGACTACACGTGCGGCAAGCTCAAAGAGGAACTTAATTGTGAAGAAGAATGCAACCACAGACACTGTGATTCCACCTATGTAACAGAGAAACATACTCGTCAGCTCACAAAGCTTAAGGAAGTCAAGATGAGTCTGCAAGACTGTAAAAACAAACACGAGGCCGGGGAAAGAGAAATTTGTAGACCAGGAGTAGGTAAATCCCACACACTGCCAGTTTTCTGTAAATAAAGTTATGCTGGGACATCGCCTCACCCTGTCCTAAACAAACCAAAGCTGCTTGCACACTGCCCAGGCAGAGCTGAGTATTTGGAAGAATACTGCATGTTTTTCAAATGGGAACATATTTGCTCTCCTGCCTTTTACAAAAAGCCTGCTGACCCCATTCTATACAATGCCCCCTCCACCTTCCTGCCTGTGCTGCTATCACAGGAGCAGTCAAAACAATGTGCTTTTTGGTTCTCTCTATTCGGAAGCCTTTTGTTCTCTCGTCCACTTGGCAAATCCTTCCACAAGCCCCATCAGTTAGAGGTTCCTTCACTTGGACCCCTCAAACTTCTGTATCTATTAACTTCTTCCTACTCGCCCACCTCCCTCTTCATGTTGTGAACTCCTTAAAGGCAGGTTTTGCCTTGATTTGGACTTTACAGTAAACACTGTCTGGCACAGAGTGCAATTACTCAATAAATATTTCCCAAATGAATGAACTTCTCTGCCAACTGTGTGAAGGTACATTCTGGCACAAGTGAAAATATTTCTAGCTCCATTTTCAAGGAGGAGAAGGAGGAGGAGGAGGAGGAAGAGGAGGAGGAGGAGGAGAGATAAGTAAACAAATAGGAACTAGACAAAAAAAACCAAAAGACAAGAAAAAGAACTTTCTATCACATACCAATAACGTAAAACATCAGGTCTCTTCAATGCCAACAGACAGCCGAGGTTCACAGCTGCAACTGCAAAACAAAATCTGTTCAGTGTCTCTCCAACTCTCCTAAAGCCACCTCAGAGGCAGGAGAGAAAGTAGAACACACGGCTTAAGCCAACCAGCTCTAGTTTAGTACCTTACTATCCCTGTTCTCTCTGCCAAGCTTGATAGGGGCTCGTGCCACGTGTCAGACAAAGCAAGGTCATAGCACTCCCCACAAAGGTTAGAATCTAGCAGCCACTCTCGGAACACCACAAGCAGCCTCTTGCTTTAGCTAATTACAAAATGACATCAGTTTTCATCTTCTCAGACTCTTGGTTCCCAAGACAATTTCCTTCTTCCATGCAAAGTGGTGCTAATTAATGCAAGAAAGAAGACAATGGAATGCTTTCCCTGAATGTTATTTGCCCTCTGAAAGTAATCCATCTAAGTAGAAACAGCTAGATAAGCTAGATAAATTGAAGATTTTTTAAACATTACTGACATGCTGGTGTTGAACTCTGGGTCATCCTGGTAATAAGTAGTGGGTATAGAGAAGAAGCCATTCCTGACATTACCAAATCACACAAACTAATGGGCCCTCAGGAAGATGAGTTCGACAGAAGGCACGTGCGTGCATGCGAGGAGCCCCCCCGCACTCGGGACGATGGGGGATGGGACAAAAGGAGAGAGGATGGTACATACCTTCATCCTTAGTGGGGTCCACTAAGTTTGAGGGGAAATTTTCAGTTACTCAACTTGCTTCCCCTACTACCCTCCATTTCTGTACCAGCACCCAGCACTTACTAGTTAGTGACAAGAAATATAAAGATTTCTAGACTCGGATCTTGGAGGTCACAAAATAACTTTTAAAAGAGGAAAAGAAAACAAACACCTGTGTGCTTTTATATCTGATTGTGCTTCATGTTTTTAAGAGAGAGAAGTGACTCAAGAACTTGGGAGGCAGAGACAGGATGACTGCCAACAGTTCAAGACCCTGTATCAAACCAAAGCCCATGGAGCTAGATGAGACAGAGTTGGCCAAGTGCCTGCTACATATGCATAAAGACTTAGGTTTGGTCCTCCAGAGCCCTGTTATACAGGTGTGGCAGCGCAGACATGAGAGGGTTCCCGGAGCTTGCTGGCCAGTCAGTAGAGCAAAATCAAGCTCCAAGGATCAATTAAAGATGCTGTCTCAAAAAATAAAATGAAGAACCACTGAGAAAGATACCCAATGTCAACTTCTGGCCTCACCTGCATACAAGGGCACCTATACACATATGTATGGACACACTAAACATGTATATATACAAATAATAGAGGCAGAAAATGCCCCCTCCCAATTCCGTTGTTAATAACATATTAAATGGAACCTACAGAGTGGGTAACTTAAGGAAAGGCCATCTCAACTTTCACAGGGATCCTATAGACCAGGGTCTAACATGCAGCTAGACTGGAACGGTCAGCACATGCAGTCTCGGGTATTCCCAGAAGATCCACTATAGAGATGACATAGGGACTCAAAGCTTGAGACTACAATCACTGAGCCTCCTTCCAGACAGTAGCTCATCTCTGGGGACTCTATGTAGAAAAGTTGTCAGCATATCACTTACAAACAGCTCTGCACCTTTCAGGCTATATGAGATGATTCCATGGTATTAAACTGGGAGTTTAGGAGTCTGAGGTACTGGTGACCACCCAGCAAAGCTGGACATGAAACTTCCAGTCTTTGGGGAAGCATCTGACAAAAGTGAAGCCCATGTGGCTGATGACAGACTTGTCATCTCAAGCCTCGGACAAAACCTACAGTTTGAGTGAGATGCAGGGCACGGAAACTTACCCACCTCCGACAGCTACCACCTTCCATCCATGAGGCAGCTGGCATAAGAGTAAGCCAGTGCCTGAAGGCAGGGCCCAACCTATAACTAACTGTACCACCTCTGTGAGCGTCACAACTTCTGCTGCTGTAACAAGTTAAGAGTCAGTGCTTTCTGTGTCATCTCCTTTAGGATAACTTTGTATAACTCCCCATAGTAATGACGCTTCTTCATGGTGCTTAGCTCTAGAACTAGCATCACAACACCTTTGCTTCAGAGATGACAGGAAATTCAGGGATCCTCTACTGACCCCAATGCTCTTCAAGGAGAAATGTATTAACACTTACAGAGGACATGGTTTCTCATTGAACCAACAAATCTAACCCTTCAAGAGAGCTCCTCACACTATTCTAATGTGGATGATTGAAATCTTTATAAGAAGTTAAAAACTTACTAAAGAAAGCCAGCCAACAAATACTGGGTGTTTAATGTGTCAGGTACTGGAGAATAGCACAAAACGTAACATCAACTCATGACACCACCAATAATCACCTTTGCCTTTCTGAGCCCTCAGTCATTATTTCTCCCCATCCACTTATCTTTCAAATTATTAGTACTGGCTTTAACTTCACCTAGATCTTTCGAGTAAGTCATTTCTTCATCTTTATCACAATCCCCTCCACAACTTACAACCCAGTACCAATGACTACTTCTTCCCAAATGACTCTCCTCCTCTTAGAACATATGAGTAAGACAACAGCTCTGTCATTTCCTCACCCATTGGGAGGACCTTTAGAAAACATTGACTGCTCTAACATCAGAGCTCAAAACCTTCCCTAAAATATTTACCCTTCTCCAAGTTTTCCCCAAGGTCACATTCTGAACTTACAATCCTCTACATCTTCTCTCTTTCTCCTTCCTCTTCAATGATGTCACACTGTCTCCTTGACTATCAGGGGTTCTCTCTGTCCTGCTACACCCTACACTGCTGTCCTTAATCACATCTCATATATTTATTCATCATTTCCCTTCACCATCTGATCTGGATGTTGTCCAGATCAAATCCTTCATACTCATACATACACACCCTGAAATGTCCTGTCTCCAAGCTTTTCAAGAGTCATCTCCTGATATAGTAAATTTGGTCAAAAACCTATGACTGAGGTCACAGACCCCAACAAAGAAGCTACTACATTGTTGAGCTAAATGGACACAATGTGTCTGTTAAATTGCCTTCTAAATAACTATGTTTATATTCACAGGTTACTGCTATTGTCACCTGTGCTTATTACAGAACTTTCTATGTGCTGTGGGCAGGGGTAACTGTAGACTCATAGCTAGTCAAATTGATCAGAACAGTGACTTAAATGTTCACCAATAAAGGGGACATCTGTATCACTCTCTTCAAGGCTCAAGGAGCACTGCAGAAGAGAAGGCCAAAGAACTTAAGAGCCAAAGACAGAGTCAAGTGGTAGGATACAGTCTTCCAGACATGACTTGACCACTGCACTTTAGAACTCACAGGAGCTGTGATTACTGTACAAGACCTGCATAGGAGGAGTCTGCTAATATCCTATCATGGAGAAGGGATGAACTCATGAGGCCCCACTTCTTCCAGAGGATTTATAGGTAGTTAACAGATGATATTTCAGGAGATACTTTCTTAAGTGACATAGCCACTGGTAAAGTACCTATGCTCCTGCAAATATACGTAAAATGTATCACATATACACATTTAATTAATATATACCAATAAAAAAATTTTAAAGTCATGTCCACTGTCTATACATCATCCCATTTTCAGTTTTCATCCATGGACTATCTCTTAATCTCAAGCTCTAGGGAAAAATCCTATCCTCTTACTCCCTAAAATCTCTAATTTTCAATTTACGAACTCTTCCTACCTCTAAATTTGTATTCAGCTTTAAAAATTTTGTTTTATGGCATTTATATCCTTTTATTCTTGTTTTATTTTTAATTTCAAAGTACCTAATACCTGACAAAATTAATCCTCTTTTTTTTTTTTTTTTTTTGAGACAGGTTTCTCTATGTAACAGCTCCTGCTGTCCTGGAACTTACTCAGTGGCCTCAAACACACAGAGATCCACCTGCCTCGGCCTCCTAAGTACTAGGATTAAAGGCATGTGCCACCACATTTAGCCTCAATACAGTTTTAAAACATCTATTTAATTACCAGTATATTCACTTGAACCAATATATTCATTTAAGCTCTTTTAGATACCAACTTACTAATTTAATTCAGTTCAGTAAGTATATCACGTGATCACGAGGCAGGCCATGGGCTCTCTTTCATACATGATACTTTTGTACAACAGTCTGTATCTACAGCTCCCTCTCTATCCAAACTATACTGGAACCTCCCCACTCTAACAAGCATGAAGTAATGTGGTAAGCATTCGTCAAACCTTACTTCTCTCAGTTAGTTGACAGTCCTCTCTACATTACCTTTGCCCTTATAAGGTCTCACAAACGATGACACTTTAAACTCAGGGAATAACAGGAGCACTGATAAACTCTTAACTCATAGGCATGCACAGCCTGCAGCTTGTGGGCCACAAGCTGCCCAGGAAACTCTGAATTTGGTCCTGCACAAAACCTTTAATCTACTTAAGCATTATAAGATTTTTCCTCAACTGCACAGTTGTAGAGTATGGCCTCTGTAGATGACCAGGTTGAATATCAAAAAGTTGGACTTTTCCCAGTGAATGAGGGCTTCGCCAACACTAAGTACTCAGGTTAGCCATTGTCCAGTGGGCTTTACATATCTTATCCTAAGTACCCTAACTATGATCACAAGATAAACACTATTAATCTCATTTCACAGGTAAAGCAAATAAACAACCAAAAAACTGGGTTGAGAAAAGTAAATTTACAGCAGGGCAGTGGTGGCGCATGCCTTTAATCCCAGCACTTAGGAGGCAAAGGCAACTTGATCTCTGTGAGTTCAAGGCCAGGCTGGTCTATAGAGCGAGTTCCAGACAGCCAAGGCTACACAGAGAAACTCTGTCTTAAAAAAAAAAAAAAAGGAAGGAAGGAAAAAAGGAAGAAAGGAAGGCAAACTTGCTGAGACTCTCCCACAATGGTTTAAGTAACAGATCCACATCTAACTGAATTCCCCAACTTTGAACTCATAATGCTGAATCATAAAAAGAATGAAGCTACAGAAAGAGCCAAGTATTTGGGGGGAAAAGATTTAAGAATACAAATAAATATTAAAATAGAAAAAAGTCCCCCAATCTAACTGTAAGGAATCTCGCAGCAAAGCTAAAATTAGAACTACAAACTCCTACAGCTTTTTTGTTATCTTTTGAGTAAAAATAATGCATGGCAACCAAAAGAGGAATGCAGTGCTGGTTATCTAGTGTAGAAATATCACGTACTGACTGCAGGGGCCTGGGCAAGTTACTGATTGCCAGAGCACTTCAGCTCACACCAAAGGGAGGAAATGCTGAAACACCTATCTTCAGGAAATGCTAAAATGCTGACACACATACATATTTTAAAGTTTGCAATAGTTAATAAATTTAAGCCCCGCCATTGAAGATCAGGTCTAAAAGTGTCATTTTTCAAAAATGGAGAATCAGTTCCTTTATATTAAAAACTGTTCTGGCAGAGCCAATCAAATCACATTAGCACCCCTGCATCTCTGGAAGAGGCTGAGGATCTGGTCACTGGTCCATGTTTCACATCCCAGTAGCTGAATCTCAGCATGATACATTACGTCAGTGTTGAGATCAGGTTGTGTCCTGTCCCATTATTCCATGTACAAAAGTGGTTTTCCGGGGCTGGAGAGATGGCTCAGCAGTTAAGAGCCAGCACCCACACGGCAGCTCACAACTGTCTGTAACTCCACTTCCAGGGGATCTGACACCTTTACACCAATGCACATAAAATAAAGTTAAATAAATTATTATTTCTTAAAAGAGGTTTTCCAGAGGGTGATGGTGGCGCACACCTTTAATCCCAGCACTTAGGAGGCAGAGGCAGGCATATCTCTGTGAGTTCAAGGCCACCTGATCTACAAAGCGACACAGAGAAACCTGTCTTGAAAAACAAACAAGAAGAAGTGATTGGAATTTCTAGTCTGTGGCCTGCCTAAGAAACTCTCTAGTTAACTCCATTTTGAGGGTGAAGGATGGCTGTACCTTGATGGACATGTAGACAACAATCTGTTCAGCACCAGTCACAAACACAGTCCAATATATAACTTATTCAAAGTACTTCTTATAGGGTGTGCTGCCCTATAAGTTTATCAGGGTAAATTAGACTACAGTACCACGTGTGTGGGTTTGAGTCTTATTAGGAAACACAGGAGTTTATAAGGGACACCAGGAAAGGTACTGAGCAAAGGGAGCAACTCTCTAACCTGAATTTCATAAAGAGGAAGACGCCTAACTCTGTAACCTGTTATCCAACTACCCAGTGTGTGAGTGTTTGAGTGTTTGCGTGCATGTGTGTGTGTCAAGAGAGAGTTTACTCCATGATGTGTAATGTGTAACCCGAGAGTAAATATTAGTAATTAAGACTGGAGTAAGAGAACCTGTGTTTGTTTTGGTCAGCTATCAAGGAAAGAGGGACCACTGGGAAAATCACTACCAATAAAACCACTGTGCAATATGAGTCTACTGTTCTCCAGTCAACTGACATTGTAGAAAGGTGCTTGCCTATGTTTCTGACACAGTGAACTTAATGATACTTACCTTTAAGCGAGGGCCCATGTTCTAAGAAACAAGTTATTCACCAAAGCAGGTAACTTTTGACTCACTTGTCTTCTAACTTACATGTGGGGGGAAAAATAAAAAAAAAAAGAGCCAAAAATTCAGCAGAAAGGACCTGTCCAGCAGATGTTCATTGAGGTTATATGTGTCCCAGTAAGCAAAGAGGCAGGGTTTGTGCACTGAAGTGGTTGAATTCTGAGGTGAAGAAATACAACCCAAGAATATATCATCCCTGGACTTCTTTCGTGTAAGATGAAATCAACCACAAAAGATGCATCTGTTCTGATGTACCAGGGTCCTCCTATAAAGAAAAAAAGAGTAAGTGCAATAAGTTTTTGTTTCTGAGATTCCATAACCTCCTCTGACACCCCCCCCCAAAAAAAGCAACCCAGCAACATCATGCAGTAAGTACTCTAAAAGTAACCAGTGTCGGCAAATTCTGACCATGCTTTCCAACAGAAAGTCCACGCATAGTGGGAAGACAACTCTAACTCCACAAGGGCAGCTCACTGCCTACAAGCATGTCACTCCCCAGAAGCTCCAGCACTTCAAGTGCTGGTCTTTCAGCAGAGGTAAGCTGGGGGCAGATTGAGAGAAACTCATCACAGCCTTGTGCCCAGCTGCAGATTAACGGGGCTGGGCCACGGCGTGGGAAGCATGGGGAGAGAACTGAATGGAAACCCAGCAGAAGCATGGAGTTGACTCAATACTCAGCTAGAAAGCAGCAGCAGCAGCAGAGCTCTAGAACCCAAGCTATCTGCCTGTGCAGGCCGCCTCCTCTGCATCCATGCACACAGTTCCAAGGCATGGTAGAAGAATTGGCCACACCGGCTCTGGTGGTGCAGGGCAGTAGGATTTGCTGAAGGAGGCAGAGGCAGGAGGATCTGGAGTTCAAGGCCAGTCAGGACTACACATTTTTAGCCGGGTGTTGGTGGTGCACACTTTTACAGCCTCCAAAACAATACAGAGAAACCCTATCTGAAAAAAAAAAACAAAACAAAGCCAGGCGGTGGTGGCACATGCCTTTAATCCCAGCACTCGGGAGGCAGAGGCAAGAGGATCTTTGTGAGTTCAAGGCCGGGCTGGACCGATAGCCTCCGAAACAATACAGAGAAATCCTGTCTCGTAAAAACCAAAAAAAAAAAAAAAAAAAAAAAAAAAACAAAAACCAAAACAAAAACCAAACAAACAAACAAAAAGAATTGGCCACTCTGGTTACTCTTCCAAAGGACCCAGTTCAATTCCCACATAGCAGCTCACACCTGTCTGTAACTCCAGGTCCAGGGTATGTGGCATCCTCACACAGACATACATGCAGGCAAAACCCCAGTGTACATTTTTTTAAATGACACTATTGCTAAAATTTTAAAATCTGGATAGGTGTCATAGTGCATGCCTATAATCCCAGCACTTGGGAGGCTAAAGAAGGAGGACCATGAATTCAACACCAAAAAAGGGAGTGAAGAGCTATAAAATCTGCTCCTATAAGTAAGGGAAGGGAGAAATCCATCAACTTTCAAACTAAAGTTACAAAGTAAAGTCAGTTCATAACTCTCAAAGACATTCAGGGACTGGATGTAGCAGAGGGGGGTTTATGGGTATACACACACACAACGAGTTACCATAAGGCAAATGAAAACGGGCTACTAGCTAGTAAGTGGGAAGAGACAGTCTCACCAGTGGCACAAACCACTATCAGCACTTCCTATCACAATGCAGATACAGTTCTCTTTAGACACAGATGCAGGACTATTTATCCTGAGTTTACAGTCCAGGACATAAAGAGCAAGGTACATTTTCAGTTACTCACAAACAGCAGCAGACAGTCTGGCCCCAGAGCCCACATTTTTAGTGAACATTCTCCTATCCTTCTGCTAAGGGAAACCAAGGGAGAAAATACAAAGTGCTAAACAAACCAGAACAGAAGGACTGAAGGCCAGCAGATCAAATAAGTTGGCAGACTTTTATAATTAAAAATGAGTAAGTATATGCATGCATTTTAACACATGGCATTGGACTTGCCAAGTACATGAGCCAAAACATGGGTCAACCAGCAATTGGAACCAGTTTAAAGGATCTACAAACAAGGGAATAGTTATGTAAACTATTAAAGATCTTCATGATAGAATGTTATATGATAATTTAAAAATGAAACTTTTGAGTAACAAAACATCAGATTGGGAAATGCTCACAAATAAAACGTGAAATGAAAAAGCAAGCACATTGCTCATACAAGCCCCATCTTAGAAACAGCATTATATAATTACATAATGATCATAAAAGGGCTGCTGGAGATATTCCTCGGTGATTAAGAATGACTGTTGCTCTTGCAGAAGACCTAACTTGAGCACCCAGCACCCACACTGGGCAGCTCACAATCACCTGTAACCCCAGATTCAGGGAATCTGACACCCTTTTCCGGTGTCCATGGGTGCACACATACAGGTTGAGAACTGCTGAGATAGAATGTCATGTAGCTCAGAGTGGCCCTAAACTCAGCATGTAGCCAAGGATGGCCTTGATCTCCTGGTTTTCTTGCCTATACATCCCAAGCTCTGGGATTTAGATATGTGCCACTATGCCTGGTTTATTAAATTCTTTTTTAATATTTTATTTAAGTGCAGGTGCCTGCAGAAGTCAGAGGAGGAGGTCAAATCCTGTGGAGCTGGATTATAGACAGCTGTAAGCTGCCCAACACAGGTACTGGAGACTGAACTCAGGTCCTCTGGAAAGGCAGTACACACTCTTAACCACTGAGCCTTCTTTCCAGCCACCCCCCAACCCCCCTACCTCCCCATCCCCCCCAACCCCCGGTTTTCCAAATTTTTAACAAAACAAAAAGAATAAAACGTTTCTATTTCTGAAGAACATTTTATTTGGGGAACCTATTTTCTTTAAAGGAATGGAGGCTAAAGAATAAGCAAATTATCTTTTGTGTTTTTTTTTTTTTTTTTCTTTTGGAGACAGGGTCTCATGTAGCCCAGCTTGGCCTCAAACTCACTATATAGTCAAGGAGGACTTTGAACTTTCCCTCCTGCCCCCACCTCCCAGGGCTGGCATTATAAGAAAACACCACCTTGTTGGGTTTAAATTACCTTTACTTAAATAGTGAAATGGCATAAAGAAGTTAAGATAAAACATATTGAAGTTTACAGTGTTCTGCCTGCAGGCCAGAAGAGGGCACCAGATCTCATTATAGATGATTGTGAGCCACCATGTGGCTGTTGGGAATTGAACTCAGGACCTTTGGAAGAGCAGCCAGTGCTCTTAACCTCTGAGCCATCTCTCCAGCCCCTGAAGTTTTATTTCTAATCATTATGGTTTTAGTGGCTCTTCAATTCTGTGATGAGCTACTTGGCTATTAAACCAAGTAACTCCTAGTTCTAATATAATCTGTCCTTATTATGAATATGCTTATCCCAATGTTTCAGCACCTCTATTGAGCTTTAAGACTCAGTCTAAGCTGATGCCCCTTTCTGGCCCAGCTCCCGGACTTTGCTGGGATCTCTACCCATGGTAGACAGAATCAATCACTTCCTTCCTGTGATATTCATACTCAAAGATATATCTATTACAGCATTTATTAGTCTGCATTATAGTAATCTGTTCACATAACAGTAAAGTGGTAAGAAATGGTAGTTCCCTGAGGATTCATAGTGTGTCTTAGCCACCTTTGCCTTCCGTTGTTAATAAGTTGTTCAGCCCTGGGCTCTCAGGGTCTGTACTCTCTTACAAGTCCCTCAAGTGAGTTCTGCATACTCACTTCAGTGTTTCGAAGCACCACCTCAACTGAAGAGCAGGCCCCCAATATTCCCCATGACCTAACATGCTTACAATAATCCTTGTGTTGCTGGTCTTAGAGACTACACTTTCAAGTGCAAGAGACCAAATTCACCTGTTTGGTCTTTGCTTTTAAAATACAAACAAAATGAAGATGGCCAATTTCATTCATTCACATACCCAGCCTATATATACCCAGTTTTTGCACAGCAAGGCAGAGCCAAGTGGCTGCAGAAGAGATGTATGTATATATTATCTCACCTACTGGGGTAAAGCCTACAGATGCCTGACTTTTAGACAGGATCTCTAGACATAAATGACCCTGAACTCAAAATCCTCTTACCCCAATTCCCAAAAGCTGTGCTTACAACCTTGTGCTACTACAACTAGCCCAAAAGTCTCGTATCTTAAAGTTACATAGTTGCCTTTTGTAAATATGAATACATTCCTATAACAAATCATAGATAGCATAAAAATTATTCTCTTCCCATTCTACTGCCCCACCCCCCTTTCTAGGAAAAGAGCTAGGAAACTCACAGAATTATGCAAAGGTTTCTCATTTCAGTTCTTTTTCCCTCTCAAGGTTGGTAATCAGGCCCTTAATACACAGGCTAGCCTGAACTCATCCTCCTCCTGTCCCCGCTTCCCAACCATTCCTGACTCTTAACTTCAACTGATTTAAAAGCTTCATGTCTATATTCATAGGACAACTAGGAATTTTATCCAATCATTTCCAAAGGACTAAGCACGGGGATTTTTTTTATACAATATACCTGAAGAATCAAACACATTACCGTTCCTAAAATTATTTTGATACTAAAGACTCAGTCTGTCTTCAAAATTCTATTGAAACATTTTTTAAAGATTTATTTGTTTTATGAGTTTGAATGTATCTGCATGTATGTATGTGCACCTCATGTGTGCTTGATGAAGGCCAGGAGAGGGCACTGGATCCCCTGGAACTGGAATCACGAATGGTTGTGAGACATCAGCTGGGTGCTGGGAGCCAAACCTAGGTCTTCTTCAAGAACAGCAAGTGCTCTTAACCACAGAGCCATTCTTCCAGAACTCAAAATGCTATTCTAAGAAATCAAGAAAACACTCAGGTTAAGGTTCACTTCAGGTACATTTAGAGACAGTGATAGCATGCAAAAGTTCTATTAACACTGACTGGATTCCACAAACCAAGGCAGAATGTAAGAAAAATGTATTTTCCAATGTTTAAAAAAAATTCCCGGGCATTGGTGGCACACACCTTTGATCCCAGCACTCGGGAGGCAGAGGCAGGCGGATCTCGGTGAGTTCGAGACCAGCCTGCTCTACAGAGCAAGTTCCAGGACAGCCTCCAAAGCTACAGAGAAACCCTGTCTAGAAAAACCAAAAAAAAAAAAAAAAAAAAAATCATCTGGGACAGGTCTACAGGGTAGAGTGATCTAACTAAGAAGATTGCCAGAAATAAAGTATCCTAGCAAATGCTTTGAACTGTGGTTTATAATTATGCTGCCTTAATTTTTTTCTTGG